AGACTGACCCGTGTGGTGATGCATCCCATATCAAATGCAGACATTATTGTGGATGCCAAGAAGTGCATGCTGACAGGAGCCTGATATAACTGTCTTCTGAGAGGCTCTGCAAGAGCTTGATAAATACAGAGGCAGATGCTCACAGCCAACTACTGTACTGTGCACAGGCTCCTCAATGGAGGAGATAGAGAAAGGAATGAAGGAGCTGAAAGGGTTTGCAATACGTAGGAAAAGCAACAATATCAACCAAATAGACACCAGAGAGCTCCCAAGGACTAAACCACCAACCAAGATTTACACATGGAGAGACACATTGCTCCAGCTGCATTTGTAGCAGAGGATGATCTGGGGCTATCCTGAAAACGCTTAGGTACTGAAGTGGGACCCAGCATTGGAGAAAATCCAATGATCTCTCTCCCTTAATTTTCTTTTACTGTTTTTGTAGCCAGAAAAATTATCTCTCTTTTTCTCTCCTGATACAAAAAGCTGTTGGCTTTTGGCAATTTATCTCCTGTTGGTAGTTGCTGCAGAGAATTTGAAAAAGGAATTTAGTTACTTGGAATCTTTACTTTTAAATCAAAGTAAAAAGGGGCCTTTTGTAACCTCTTTCTGACACAGTGTAAAGGAAAAGGAAAGAAGAAAAAGTCTGCCACACAGATACAGGAACACTAGATGAAGCAGAAAAAGGCTATATCAAAACTTTATTAAAACTTTCAGCTTTTTATAATATTTTAGACATTTTATGTAGAAAAAGTACTTCATAGATAAAATGTTGCACAAAAGGGGAGTTACAGAAGAATGTTAATGGCAAGATCTAAGCAGTGTATTATTCTATAAGTTCATTATCAGTTCAAAGCAATCATTTCATATGGCCGTGTTTTACTATAGTGTACACCTGTTGCTTGATCCTGGGACCTGACTTAGAATGAATGTTTTTTCTTGATCATGAATCTGTCACAAACCTATTTCTCATTCTGGTGCAATTTATGAATCTCATGGTATACCTTATGAATCTCATGCAGCTTTTACTATTCTATGAGGAGGAGCTATATTTTATTCTTGATTCTCATTTAATTATATCTTTCTTGTAAAACAACTAAAACCGTCTACTTAAGATATCTTCCTAAAATTATTTTAATAAAATCAGGGATTCTATAGAGTCATTAATCCATCTTTACAGCATTATTTCTTGCAGTTTATCTTCATGTTGACGTGCAAAAAATATTCCCAATAGGGAGCACTATCACCAAGGAAATAATCATACCAGGCTATAGGCAGTGATGGTTTCCCAGTATTCACTCACACCAACACAAATGAATGAGGAATATGAAATGATAAATATGAGAAAAGCATGTCAGTAGCAAGAAGCAATTCTGAAGCAAAGTCTTTGTGGGCTATAAGAAGCTATCCTGGGACGAAGTCTTAGTGACCATGCCTCACCAGAATGCACCCATCACAGCTAAGGAAGAATGTGGGACATCTCCAAGGATCTCACTCACCCTCTGAAGGTCTTCCACAATGATGTATACACCATTAGACATTTTCCATTAAAATTTCGTTGAATGTGTCACACTTCAGTGATCCATCACAGTAATAACTAGCTACGGATCCATAATAATACATGTATTCCAGTCATTATTTTCATGGAGAAATATTTTTCTACTGTGCAATTTTTATTTATACTTCTATGTAGGTTATGCTCCTTTTACTCTTCTATTTTTCCCTCCTTTCTGCCTGCCTGCCTTCCTTCTGTTCTTGAAAATTCTAAGAAATTGACAATTGATTCTCATCACAACCCTGTATATACACAATGTCTATCTATTCATTGAATGTAAATACATTGATGTAGCTAGTGACCCCAACCAAGACACTTGGGTGCTAGATTGGGGTAAAAATGTGTAGATTCAACCATACAGACTCTGGGAGTCATGTAAGTGGCAAAAGGAGACCCTTTAATTGTAGGGAGTGGGCAACCTTTTTACCCTCAACCCAGGCTCCATTGTCAAATGCCCAAACCCTCCAGGTAGTTGCCACCATCTGATTGGTTACTCTGATCATGAACTCTATCTGTCATCATTTGTGTCCAGGTGTCTGGCAGGCTATAGGTTTTAGGAGTCACAGAAGTTACTGTTGCACATAAGTGGGTCACTGAAAGCAAATGGTCATGGTTTGCTGATTCTTTCCTCCTTCATACTGATATATATATATATATATATATATATATATATATATATACTAGATTTCTAGGTGATATTAAATCCCATGAAATATTTTTATTTTTTAAAAATAATTATTCTCACTTCATTCTAAGTATTTAACAATCTTTTGTAGTTCCATTTAATGTATGATGTATCAGTGCTATGGATTTCCACCATACTGTAAGTGGAATTCCAGGGTTTCTTGCTTACAAATAACTGGGCTGCCTCTGCCACCAACTGTCCTTGAGTTGCTGCAGGTGCAGGCCTGGGTCTGCCCTGTGTGTGTTGTCCCCAAAAGACATGATGATCTTCTGGCAATCAGATCACTGCGAATGATACACAGCAGCCTTATTTATAATTGCCAGAAGCTGGAAAGAACTTAGATGTCCTTCAACAGAGGAGTGGGTACAAAAATTGTGGTACATTTACACAATGGAGTACTACTCAGCTATTAAAAACAATGAATTCATGAAATTCTTAGGCAAATGGATGGAACTAGAAAATATCATCCTGAGTGAGGTAACCCAATCACAAAAGAACACACATGGTATGCACTCACTGATAAGTGAATATTAGCCCAAAAGCTCAAAATACCCAAGATACAACTCACAGACAACATGAAGCTCATGAAGAAAGAAGACCAAATTGTGGGTGCTTAATTCCTTCTTAGAAGGAGTAACAAAATATTCATGTGAAGAGTGATCAGTGTGGGACAGAAACTGAAGGAGGGGCGATTCAGAGACTGCCTCACCTGGGTATCCATCCCATGTGCTGTCACCAAAGGCAAACGCTGATGTTGATGCCAGGAATTGCAGGCTGACAGGAGCCTGATATAGCTGTCTTTTTAGAGATCTGCCAGAGCCTGACATATACAGAGGCAGATGCTCACAGCTAATGATTGAACTGATCATTGGTTCCCAAAGGAGAAGTTAGACAGAAGACAGAAGGAGCTGAAGGAGTTTTAAGACCCATGGAGAGAGCAAAAATACCAACCAACCAGAGATCCCAGAGTCTAAAACACCAGCCTGGAAGCAGGTAGGGAAGAACCTATGGCTCCAGCTGTATATGTAGAGGAGGATGGCCTTGCTGAGCATAGGTGGGAGAGGAGGTCCTTGGTCTTATGAAAGTGGATGCCCCAGTATGAGGGAATTTGAGGGCAGGGAGGTGGGAGTGGGTAGGTGGGGGCGCACCTTCATCGAAGCAGGATGAGGGGGGAAGGGATGGGGGTTTCTGGTGGGGATAACATCTGAAATGTAAATAAAATATCCAATAAAAAAAGAATACTTTTGGATTTTGTAAGTATAGAGAATACTGAATAAATCCTATGTCATATTAAAAAAAAGAAAAGGCTAAAACTGCAGAGAAGATTGTGTTAAAGCATGAGTATGTCACCCACAACAGAGCAAATAGAATTCTGTTAAGCACAATCACAGATAGAGACAAGTGATCAGTTCTAGCTGACTGTGTTATAAAGACAATAAAATGAAGAGCACTAACTCACAAGAAGAGAAGGAGAAACAGGAGAATGTGGTAGTAAAGAAGGAAAGAAAGAGGAAAGAAAAAGAAAAAACATGGTAAAAGGAAGCAGGAGGCATGGCTCAGTATTCTAGTGCACTTGTTACTCTTCTAGAAGACCCAGGTTTGGTTCCCAGTACCCACATTGTGGCTCGCAACACTGTTTGTAACTCCAGTTCCAGAGGAAGATCTCAAATCTTAACTTAAAAGCCTTGAGTTTAAATCTTAAAAAGTTAATGGTAACTCTTTATTACAATAGTTTTTGTTTGGTTTGTTTGTTGGTTTGTTATGCTTGTCCTTGGTCTGATAAAGGACCAGAAATATCTAATAGTTTAAATGACCTTCACATTATCTCAATAGCCAGAGGCTCCGCCAATTTCACGACCAGGTGACTAATAGCACAAGTGACATTCACATTATTGATATGACTAAGAACATGCCAGACACTTCCTTCAGCTCATAAAATCGTACAGGTAACCCATCACTAAATCTTAAAGAAATGACATGTACCCTAGGTTGAGTTTCTATGTAATTACACTTCTTTGTGTACTAGAGATTATATTACACCAGGAAACCTTTTCTCCAAACTATGCAATGTCTTAATTGGTTGGGAATACACTACCTGACACCAGAGTTCCCAAGTCTGATCCAGATTAATGAAGTGACTTTTAACTGGGTTTTATTTTTCACCTCTTCACAGTTTGCTTAACTGCCTGTACACTGGCAGGATTCCCCTTACTCAGAGGACAGAAGAGTGGTTAAAAAATCCTTGAACTGGAGTTACTAAAAGCTAGGAATGATGCAGGTGTTGGGACTAAAACCCACATCCCTGGAAGAATAACCAGTATTCTAAATCATCTCCCCAGACATCTTTCTCAGGTATAAATCCTATAAATAGAGAGAGAGAAGGAAGGAGGTAGGGAGGGAGGGAGAGAGGGAGGGAGGGAAGGAGGGAGGAGGGAAGAGACAGAGAGACAGAGAGAGACAGAGAGAGACAGACACACACACAGAGAGAGAGAGATACAGAGACAGAGAGAGACAGAGACACAGAGAGAGACAGAGAGACAGAGAGACAGAGAGAGAGACAGAGAGAGAGAGAAAGAGAGAGAGAGAGAAAGAGAGACAGAGAGAGAGAGAGAGAGAGAGAGAGAGAGAGAGAGAGATGACAACGCTGCAGAATAAATCCTAGCTGTTCCCAGAACTCTGCTACTCTGAAACAGTTTTTTCTTTGTTTGTTGTTTATTTTGTTTTGTTTTCTGAGACATGAGAAGTATTCCCTTGCTTTGAGGGGAGTAGTCTTGGGAAAAGGACACAGATTTCAGACATAGAAAAGTTTCTATGATCACACTGACATTTAAGGCCTGGCAAAGAGAAAAACTCTCAGCAGCTGAGCATCTGGAGTCATCATAAGGAGCAATGGGCACAGCCTGTGCTCTCACTTCTGCTTCCCTGGGTGGTTTATGTCAAGGCTTGAATCACTGTGGGAGGAGTACTAGCACCTTGTTGACAGTAATAATCTGCGACATCTTCAGGCTGCAGACTGTTGATCTTGAGAGAATACTGTGTGCCAGATCCACTGCCACTGAACCTTGATGGGACCCCACCTTGCAAGCTGTTTGCATTATAGATCAGGAGCTGAGGAGATTTCCCCTGTTTCTGCTGATACCAGTTTAGAGCATTGTAAATGTTCTCACTTGCTTGACATGTGATGGTGACACTTTCTCCCACAGATGCAGCCAGGGAAGCTGGAGACTGAGTCATCTGGATGTCACATCTGGCACCTAAGATTGAAAAATTGAAAGCAAACCCCCACATGATTAATTCTGTTGCATGGGGATTTTCACTGAGACCAAGCAGTATTGACTACAGGAAGCTGAATAAATTTCCAGTGCTGTCTTCCTTACCTGTAAGCCACAGCATCAGGAACGCCAGGAGCTGAGTGGGCACACTCATGTCTGTGTGTGATCTGTGTGAGGCTGACTTCAGCACAGCGTGTGACCAGACTATGAAGAAGTCTTCATGACTGTGGGCTGTGATTTGGGTACATGCAAATCAGCAAAGGGTAGGCACAGCTGCAAGACTCACCAGATCAGTAACTCATTGCAGCCCTATGATTCTCTTATGTCTCCAATCAGATTCAGTACAGGTTTATTTGTAGGGAATGTACTTCTCTTTGAACAATAAAGAACAGCAACACTCTATGAGTTGTACATTATTTTAATATCACATTCCATGTAGAATTTACTTGTTATATTTTCCTCCATGGAAACGTGTATCAGATATGGTATAATTTTACATACTACATAAAGGGTTCCATTTTCCTTTCAAAGTTAGGTGTACATGTTATTACAATCATGGAGCTTCTGACGATTTTTCTGATCTGTTTGTGAAACTAAATTATAATTACAACATTTTCACCTTTCCTCTCCTCCCAGTTTGCTCCAAATACACATCTCTGTTCTCCTTCATGGCCTCTTTTTCCATTAATTGTTTTTGTATGCACTTATGTATTTTCACACACACATAGACACACACTCACAGAGAGAGAGTTTCCTAAATCTAACTTGTTGAGTCTATATAATATTATTGTATATATGTTTTCATGACTGATCTTTTCATTGTAGACACTCAATCGGTGTGGTCTTCCCTAGGAAGGAAGATCTCTTCTGCTGCCACCATTACCCAGTCCTTTATAGAATGTTTTATAGATGTAAAGCATCATGGGCTTTTGCCCATCCTGTTTGTCATGCTCAATGGTGCCTTCCGTATTCAACTACTATTTGAATAATAATTTTGTTAAGACTTATAGGTATAGTTTCTCTTGTTACTATGAGACACAACCTAACAGGAAACTCTCTGATCCTCTGGCTCTATCACTCTTTCCACTTCCTTTTCCTAAATGTTTCCCGAGCATTTCATATGGGAGCCTTTTGTAGATGTATCCACTTTTACTGAGCTCCAAAACTAGCCTTGCAGCATTGTGCTTACACTAATACACAAAAGAGTAATAGAATAATATTAGAAGGTGTGGCTTGTAAATATATGATCTCACATAAATAACCCATCTTTTCAACTAAATAGATTCATTTTACTTTTTTGGTGACAGCTCAGCTAATCAAGAACTACTTCAATCAGAGCCAGACAAAGTCATGAGTTTTCTTCCCTTCCTTCTATACATATGAGCTCTCTTCAAAATTCATCTGGAATTATAATTATATCCAATGTGCCTGTGAGATTTCAGGTCATTATACCTGACTTCTTCCTCATCTTAATGTAAGGTATGAATATTCTCTCCAGAAATAATTATTCCTGTCCTTAAATGTACAACATATCTCAAACTTGCATATGCTACGTGTACCATATCTTTTCTATATATTAAAAGCATATGTATCTTAGTCTAAGATAGGACAGAGGGACACATCGTATTTGGTGAGAGAAGCATGTAAGGAAGTAAAGGTAAAAGCTATACATGGGGGAATTATAGCCATAGAAATGTCCAGAAATAGTGTGAGTTTACATGAATGGATGAATGGAAAAAGTTTTACATGTGAAAATAAGCATTCTGTAAAACATAGGTATTTCTCAGGGTGAGACTGGCACCCATTCATGGCCTCAAGATGATGATGAACACAGAAGAGGTGTCATAAAGAAGAGGCAGGTGTATAGGTCAATATGTACTCACTGTGTTTCCACTCAGGGATATAGCAAAGATTTATTTTTGTGCAATAGTGATTAAATGATTTCATCTAGTGATAATTCTGTCCATTAATATGAATATATTTCATGTACTGACACCATGTATGCATATTCTGGTTAAGCAGTAAAATCATGCCAATAAACATAGTCAATCAAAATGATAATTTATTTCAAAATTTCATCAAAGTGTGGCACAGATCACTCACACACATGGTAATTACATAGGCTGTATTTGTTTTCTACATAAAGGCAGAACTGAATTCATTGTTACCCAGGTCCCAAGTCAGGAATGCTCCTGAGCAAGACAATCTGAGTTACTAAACTGAGAAGACAATCTCTTGTCTTATTACCTGGAAAGTTTTACTTTACTTGCAAAACAACTGCTTTATGAATGGATTGACACACTCCCTAGGTTCTTTCACGGGAATACCTCTACCTTAGCCACCTTAATGTTTGAAATTCTCAGAACCTTTTTCCAGTTATTATTGGATACAAGACAAGATAAAAATCAATACAATTTGGTAATTCTTTCCCCTTTCTAAATCAGTCATTTTCATATTCCCCCGAAGCCCATTTTGTAGCACACTTCATTGTCATAGAACAAATAACATTACAGTCTGTTCATGATCCAACATTTGGACTTCTGATTAAACTTTCATAACATCCAAAGTTTCCTATCCATAAAATACGTGAAATGGTGAGGATATCCAGAGGAAAAATGCATCACCTATAAGAGTGTTTGCCTAATTATAATGTCGTGGCATGTCCCTGGAATGTGGTCTATGTTTTAATGACTAAAAACATCACTGGAAAAAAAAAACAAAGAATGACTTACTACTTATTTACTGTAGAGAAAGACAGGACCTCAGATCCTTGCCACAACAGTGACAAGAGACTTTGGAGATCTGACGTTCACATTCACATTGCTTCACAGCCAATTTCTTCATGGCCCTAAATATAAAAGTGTAATATACTATCTCATTTATAAGAAGCTGCAGAGAGTCTCCAAAAAAAGAAAATATAAAACACAAAAAAAATTTACATACATTCATACCAGTAGCAATGTTTAAGCTAGAAAAAAATGGAGAAAGGAGACTTCTCAATAGTGAATAAAATGCCACAACTCAAAGGTCTTTTTACTTTCTATCATGATTCTTTGAGATCAAGCTAGAGATACTGGATGTCAGCTTTATTAGATCAAGCTTTTCCTTTTCTTATACTTTCTGATTATATTTCTTCCTATGTTTTTTAATGTTTTCAACTTTGAAAATTGTTAAGGATGCTAACAAGCACGCTCCTCTCAGGTAATAAGAATATATAATCCTGAAGCTGAACATTAGCATTCTAATGGAATATAATTGGTTAACGGAAAACAAAAACGTTATAACATCAATCCTTCTAACCAGAAAGATTTTTTTTTTTTTTAGGACTAGAGTCCTAGGACCAGTGTTTCTACATCTGCACAACAAGGCATTGTCAGGATCTCTATTTTCCACTGAGTAACAGTAGGTGTGAAATGTACACAGATTACTCTCACAGAAGTGGGCAGGTTCTATAAGAAAACACTGGATGCCTAGTGATTTAGGGATTAGAAAATTCTCTTATGTCTACTCTTACAGTAATTTTGAGCATATAGATATATATTATTGCCTCTCTTCCTGCTGGAAAGATTGCTAAAATGAGGACAGTATTAGGCCTTTGTCCAAGTGGAACCCTGATAAAGTGGACTAATATATGGAGTATTATAAATGATCAGCAAATCATGTGAGGTATAACTGGGCTGATTCTTCCTGTGCATAATCAGCAACTTTAGGATTCATAAAGTATTACATATAAACACCAATAGGATCAGATGCATTTGTAGTCTAATTCCTGCTATTAAGGTGTAAGAAAATATTGTGCTGGGATGTAGCTTTATTGATGTCATCTATTAATTTAACAATCATCCTTGTATTAAAATTTATTTAAGTTCCTTTTTCTCATAGAGACCATGCATATTTTCAAGCATACTGTACTTACTCAGAGACCTTGGCCTAGGTTCAATATTTTGAACTAGACTGAATTGCTGTCAGTTCTCCCATGGAAGCTTCACTTTTAGAAGAGACTGCTTGTCTATGTTAGCTCTCATGAGCTACCATTACTTCTCCCGTGGTAGCTTCATATATGAAAGAGACAGTCTGGAGGTTCAGAGTATCTTGACACCCTACCTCAAAGTAGATAACAAGTCCCTTGTCCATGCTATTTTAAACAACCTCATTTTCTGTCAGTGTATCCAGTTAGATACTAAGATGGCATATCACATTTATACTTTAATTGGTACTAATCTTCTTTGTAAAATTTAAAACAGTATCTTGTTTTCTCTATGACATATATATTTATTTGCTTTAATTACATTCTCTAAGAGGAAGCATTTGTATTCTGTATTACCAAGCTGATAATTAACATAAAATACTGTTAATAAGCTTAACAGTATTATTTTTTATTCTCTTGTCCAGTTTCTGGATTCCTTAGTTGGATGTTTCTCTATTACTGAAAAGATAAAAGCAAATAATGCTACTCTAACCCTAACTCTGGTTTTTACATTGACTTGCAAAATGCATCTTTCCTATGGCAAAGGCTTTTTGGCAAAACAGAAAGCATTATCTTTAATATTGAAATTATCAACAAACTTTATATGAATATATATACTTATATTCCCCTTTCTCTTCATATAAATTTGAGATTGATGTGTATTATTTTAAAAAATATTAAGGACATTTCTGCTTATTATTAAATGAAAATGCACATAATATCTTTAAGGAAAAAATGTGTCATTTTAGATTTTAGGCTGTTGTTTTCAAGTGGCTTCATCTTATCACCAGTGCATCCTGACCTGACTTCATTGTGTAGAGTTTAGATAGATGTTCCTGTCTCTGTTTCCTTTGTGCTGGGAGTAAAAATGCACACCACCTAGAACTGCTGAAAGTGTCACCTCAACTGCAAACCATTGTAACTCATTAATTTATAAAATACCTCTTTTGTTTTGCATGTCTTTCAGTTTTTTCTATTAATTTCTAAGGGTAAACCCCTCATCAAGAAATTGGCAATTTTTACAAAATTGCATTGATCAAATTATATAAACCTACAGTCAAGAAAAATACATTTTATTGAAGAGTCGTTCACTTTCTATCTAAAACATACAGAGGGAACTTTACAATAGAACCATGAATTTCTGAGCCTGAGCTCTAGTCTTTTGGGAGGCAGGAGTAGAGTATATGCTATGGATTCAGACAATATATCACCTGAACTTCCAAGGGTTCTTAAGAGTATGGA